CAACCTTCACCAACGCAGCAGACGTTTGGGATGCCATCGAGGAGATCTTCAACTCGCAGTCCCGTGCGCGTATCATCAACACGCACATGGCTTTGTCATCTACTGTGAAAGGTAACCGTAGTATTGCTGAGTATGTTGGAAAGATGAAAGGGCTTGCAGACGAGATGGCATCTGCTGGAAAAGCCCTTGATGATGATGATCTGATCTCCCATATCCTTGCTGGTTTGGATTTTGATTATAATCCTGTTGTGTCCTCGATTACGGGACGCACCGAGTTTGTTTCCTTTGGTGAAGTCTATGCGCAGCTGCTGAGTTTCGAGCAGCGTCTTGATCTCCTTCAAGGAGGCTCTTAGTCCTCCGCCAATGCTGTGTTGCGAGGAGGGCGCGGCGGCGGCGGCAGAGGCGGCGGACGCAATGGAGATGCCAACCGCGGTGGTCACGGTGGTTTCGGCCGCGGCGGTGGCAGAGGTGACGATGGCTCCTTCAACAACAACAATCGTCCGACATGCCAACTCTGCGGCAAGATCGGCCACACCGTGCACAAGTGCTGGAAGAGGTTTGATGCCTCTTTCACTGGGGAAGACAAGAGTGCCAATGTCGCAGCCTCGTCCTACGAGGTTGACACAAACTGGTACATCGACTCAGGCGCCACCGACCACATTACCAGTGAACTTGACAAGCTGACGGTGAAGGACAAATATGCCGGCAACGATCAAGTGCACACGGCAAGCGGCTCAGGTATGGACATTAACCATGTTGGTCGCACCATTATTCACACTCCCACTCGCAAGCTTTATTTGAATAATGTTCTTCATGTTCCTGATACAAAGAAAAATCTAATTTCTGCCTATCGCTTGATGCTTGACAACCATGCCTTCATTGAACTTCATCCTTCCTTCTTTTTGATCAAGGATCAGGCAACGAAGATGCCGCTGCTCCGCGGCAGATGTAGAGCCGGCCTATGCCCACTTCCATCATCTACGGTTCACATAAACAAGCTCAGCAAGTCCTTGGCGCTTTCAAGGTTTCCCCGACGTTGTGGCATAGTCGGCATGGCCACCCGTCGTCAGCTATCGTTGATCAAGTCCTTAGCTCAAATAAATTACCCATGTCTTTTGAGAGTACTCAGAATCAAGTTTGTAATGCTTGTCAGCAGGGTAAAAGTCATCAATTACCTTTTCCTAAGTCTGTTAGTGTGTCTAAAGCTCCTTTAGAGCTAGTTTTTTCGGATGTTTGGGGACTAGCTTCCTCCTCTGTGGGCAATAAGAACTACTATGTAAGTTTCATTGATAATTTTAGTAAGTTTACATGGGTCTATTTGCTCAAACACAAGTCTGAAGTTTTCTCCAAATTTCGTGAATTTCATACCCTTGTTGAACATTCATTTAATACTAAAATCAAAGCTATGCAAACTGATTGGGGTGGTGAATATCAAAGACTCAATAGCTTCTTTTCTCAGATTGGCATAGCACATCTTGTCTCCTGCCCACACACACACCAATAGAACGGCTCAGCTGAACGGAAACACCGGCATATCGTTGAAATAGGCCTAGCTCTCCTATCCCATGCCTCAATGCCCCTCAAGTTTTGGGATGAAGCCTTTGTTACAGCTGCCTATCTCATTAACCGGGTTCCTAGCTGGGTAATCAACTTTGAGACACCTTTAGAACGTCTCTTTAGCATCAAACCTGATTACTCTGCCCTTCGCACCTTTGGTTGCGCTTGCTGGCCGAATCTTCGTCCTTATCAAGCTCATAAGCTATCCTTTCGATCTAAACAGTGTGTTTTCCTTGGATATAGCCTCCTTCATAAAGGGTTTAAATGCTTGGATGTTGCTTCCGGTCGGGTTTATATCTCTCGCGATGTTGTGTTTGATGAAACTGTGTATCCATTCACTACTCTTCATCCGAATGCTAGCGCTAGGCTTCGTACTGAACTCCTCCTTCTTCCCGATAGTTTCTCTCCTACCACTCAATCTGATCATGGGGTGAAATAGTGCACCAACCGCTGGTTAATTGTCCTCCTAATTTTTCTGATCAAATTGGTGAGAATTCTTCAAGAACAGGAGTTGCTCAGATTGGTGGTTCAGCTACTGGAAGCAGCGCAGCAGAAACCAGGTCGCCGGGTAGCGCCAGCAGAGAAGAAAGCGTTTCACCGGAGGAAACACATGATTTTATGCATGGTCCTGTGCAGTCTCAGTTTTCTATTGGTGCAGCTGGCGCAGGAAATGATGATGGTTCACCAGTGCTACGTGACGTGTCAGCAGAGCTGCAGTCAGACAGTGATGCTGCACCAATCTCTTCATCACCTAGTACTAGTGCACCGAGTGGTGGAGCAGTGCATAGCACACATGCTGACCAAGTCACGTCGCCATCGCCAGCAGCGTCAGAGCAGTCTGAACAGGAGCAGCAGACAACACAGGCAAGTGATCAGACGAGACCAGTCACGAGACTACAGAAAGGTATTTCTAAACCCAAGCGATATACAGATGGGACTGTTAGGTATGGATGTCTTACTACTACTGGTGAGCCAGAAAATCTCCGAGAGGCTATGGCAAATAGTAATTGGAGGCTTGCCATGGAACAAGAATACTCTGCTTTTATGAGTAATAAAACTTGGCATCTAGTTCCACCAACCCAAGGTAAAAATATAATAGATTGCAAGTGGATGTATAAGATTAAAAGAAAAGCTGATGGGTCAATAGACAGGTATAAGGCTAGATTAGTTGCAAAAGGGTTCAAGCAGAGGTATGGTATTGATTATGAGGACACTTTTAGTCTAGTTGTTAAAGCTGCAACGATTCGCCTAATTCTGTCTATTGCAGTCTCAAAAGGTTGGAGTTTGAGACAACTTGATGTTCAAAATGCCTTTCTGCATGGATATTTAGAAGAGGAAGTATATATGAGACAACCCCCAGGTTTTGAGAACAAAGGCCAGCCTAATTATTTGTGTAAGTTAGACAAAGCCTTGTATGGATTGAAACAGGCACCAAGGGCATGGTACTCTCGCTTAAGTACGAAATTGCAAGAACTTGGATTTATTTCTTCAAAGGCTGACACCTCCTTGTTCTTTTATAACAAGGGTGGTTGCACTATATTTATTCTTGTGTATGTTGATGATATCATTGTTGCCAGTTCTTCTGCAGAAGTTGTTGCAGCCTTACTTAAGGACTTGGAGAAGGATTTTGCATTGAAAGATCTTGGAGATCTGCACTACTTTCTTGGAATTGAGGTCAAGAAAGTGAGTCAGGGACTTGTGCTATCACAAGCCTGGTACGCTTCTGATATTCTCAAGAGAGCTGGAATGTCTATTTGCAAACCAGCTAGTACACCTTTATCTACTACTGAAAAATTGTCTATTGAAGATGGAGATTTCTTGGGACAAAATGATGCTAGTCATTATAGAAGCATTGTAGGGGCTTTGCAGTATCTCACTCTGACTAGATCAGACTTATCATTCTTGGTAAACAAGGTCTGTCAATTTCTACATAGTCCTACTACAGTGCATTGGTCAGCAGTAAAACGAATTTTAAGGTATATAAAAGGGACTGTGGAATTTGGACTTAGATTTGGTAAGTCTGATTCTATGCTTATTAGTGCTTTTTCTGATGCTGACTGGGCTGGTTGTTCTGATGATAGAAGATCTACAGGAGGTTTTGCAGTTTTCTTGGGTCCTAACTTAATTTCTTGGAGTGCTAGAAAACAGGCTACGGTTTCTAGATCTAGTACTGAAGCAGAGTATAAGGCCTTAGCTAATGCTACGACAGAAGTTACGTGGGTAAGGAAAATTTTGGATGAATTGAGAATTGCAAGACCTTCGGTAGCACAATTGTGGTGTGATAATTTGGGAGCTACTTATTTATCAGCTAATCCAGTCTTTCATGCAAGGACAAAGCACATTGAGATTGATTATCATTTTGTGAGAGAGCAAGTTGCGAAGAAGCTACTTGATATACAATTTATATCTACAACAGATCAGCTAGCTGATGGTTTCACTAAATCCCTGCCGGCGCCGAGTTTAGCACAGTATAGACACAATCTCAACTTGGGCTAAGTTGTGATTGAGGTGGAGTGTTGAAATATAGATAAGTTTAGTTATCATGTTTCTGTTGTTATCTCTTTATCCTTATCTCTTGTAACCATATGTTGTTATCCCTTTGTAATCGCCACGGTAGAGGCTGTTTCTACCCTATTTAATACGTACCGCGACCCAGCGTGAGGGAATCGCGTTCCATCTAGTTTTCCTATAGTCGGCATGGATGGAGTCGTTGCCCTTGCGCGGCCCGCCGGCGAAGGAGAAGAGCCAGGGCCGCGCCGCTGCGCGCACCCGGCGCTGCCACGCGGCCACGGCGGCGGCGGTCTCCAGGTGGAAGTAGGTCGGGTAAGGGACGGCAGGGTTGTTCCGATTCCATGGGCTCGCCTCGACGAGGATCGCTGTTATGTTTTGGACGGCGGGGTAGGTGAGCAGCTTGCTGCCCCACTCCCAGCCTTCGTTGCGGTGTCGCCGGAAGTCCCAAGTGGTGCGGCCGACGACGAAGAAATGGTCGCGGCCTCCCATGGCGTGCCACTCCGGCGGTCCGGCCGCCACGTCAGCCACCCGCCGAGGTCATCGAAGAGCGTGTCCTTCACCGACGCGTTCCGGTGGAAGAGGTACCTCCCGAGGCCCACATTATATTTGTGTGTATGAAAAATGGGTCCCGCTCGTATTTCTTTACTTTTATACACGTAAGCGCCACGTCAGCTCCACATGGAACAGAGACCAAGTCAATGCCACCACGTATACGCCACGTCAGCGAAACCACCCTCGAAAACCGCTGAGGGAGTCAAATTGCACCGGTTTTAATAGTATGTGGGTCGAAATACCCGGTATTGTGGTTCAGGGATATGATTCAGATTCGACCACTAATTAAGGGAGTCAATGTGAACTTATTCCTTTCTTTCTCTTTTTTTTTTTTGGAAAATACAGTATGCGAATACGCCTACAAGTATACAAAAGTAGTAGACGACTAGACCTCTCTTGCCATTGCAAGCCTTACACGTGACCCTGCGCATGCTGCGTGTCCCCGAGCAGCTGTCGCACAGAAGCAGTTGCAACCTGCGAGCGGAAACCCACCTCCACCCCGTCGCCGGCCTGCCGCCGCCGCCGCCGCCGCTTGCCCTCCTCCGCCTTACTCGGCCTCCGGCGCCTCCTGACCCCCCGGCCATGGGTTGCTCTTCGTCTCTGCCAGGTCGTCGCTCCTCCCCCACCAACGGATGAAAATAGTTTTTTTTTTCTTTCACTTTCTTGTTTTGCTTGCCTACTTGGACCTTGGATCTTTCCTTCTGCTTCCGGCGATGCTGCTGCTTGTGGGTACTACTGTCAGCTCTGAAAGCTCTGAAGAGGCAGTAGGATTGACTGTGTTGACTGTTAGAATTAGTGGATGGAGAGGTTGGGTCAACGCTGGTTTGGTTTTGGGTGTAAAATCTTGGCCGTGGCATTGTCCAGCGGTAAAATTTCCTGATTGATGGTGTTTTGATCCGTATTCAGTACATGTGGTCCTGGGTTTCCTTTCTTGATTTGTGATTTTGTTCCGTAGCACCAGAGGGGCTGTGAATTTGTGATCATGGAGGTTGGTGGAGCTTGTAATGGGGAAAGTTTGGTTTTTTAGGTTGGTCACCTACTAGTACTCGGCTTGCATGCAATTTTTCACGATAACATTGTAGGGAGGTTCTCGCGTGCTAGATGTGAATCTTCTGCAAAGGTGCAGGAAATTAGAATGCAAGGGATATGGACAGAATGGTTTTCATTCGGCTGTATTTATTTGTTGAGTACTATCAATGTGGAACTTGGTTTCATCCATCAAAATCGGTGTGTTGTTTCTTGCTTTTTTGACAGACCACATTCCACTTACTGCTTTTAAGTAAAATAAGGAAGAAAAACCATCTTGATTTCATGAAGCGGAACTTTCTTTGTTGAAAACTGTCCAAAAGAGATCCTAACTTCTGATGTGCTGACAAAAAAGCATTTAATGATTAACACAGCTACAAGTAGGATATGTTGTTTAACTAAGAGTAAATTTCATAAAACTACAGATACTTTGCATGATCTATCACAAAACTACAGATTTTAGAACTAGTTTCACAAAGCTACAGATTTAATGTCTTCGTTTATCACAAAACTACAGGTACTTTGAACACTATATCACAAAACTATAGATTTAAGAACTTGTTTCACAAAACTACAGGTTTAATATCTTCATTTTTCACAAAACTACAGGTTTAATATTTTCATTTATCACAAAACTACAGATTTAGTGTCTCCATTCTCACAAAACTACACGTTTTAACATTGCTTTTACCTGTAGTTTTGTGAGAATGGAGACACTAAATCTGTAGTTTTGTGATAAATGAAGACACTAAATGTGTAGCACTATAATAAACGAATGCACTAAATCTATATTTTTGTGAAACAAGTTCTTAAATCTGTAGTTTTGTGATAGATTGTATAAAGTACCTGTAGTTTTGTGATAAACGAAGACACTAAATCTGTAGTTTTGTGAAACAAGCTCTTAAATCTGTAGTTTTGTGATATATTGTGCAAAATACCTGTAGTTTTGTGAAATTTACTCTTTAACTAAATATAGGCTATAACAGGATTATGGGGAAGAAGAATAGTGTGAACAAGGATGCTTTGCTATATTTCTTTCACATGTCAGCCACATGTAAGATGTAACATAATTCTAGTAAGCTTAAGTGTTATGGAGAAGCCTTAAAAACATGTAACCCCTATTTTCATCGTGTGGCTCTGCTAAATCAAACCTGATATGGACATGCTAAATTACTATTCCTTGTTGGGTGTAGTGTTGTAATATTTCACATTAATTCTTCCAGCTTTCCAGCTTATTTTATTCTCTGTTCAGTTACTCTATGTTCCTTCAGAACTCAAATCAGTTTGGCACTTTCTGGGGAGCAAACACATTTATGTATCACATATTGATGCATCCATTGTTTTTTTTTCTACAGCTAATAATGCTGGAGGGGTAGGTACTATCAGCAACGAGAATTCTGGTACTGATCTGAAGAACTTGCGAGTGAAGGTTTGGACTTACTCACTAGTGTCTTCATAATTCTTTTAATATTTCTCATCTCCATTGTTGACATTAAGTTGAATTGGAATGAAAAGGTTCATGCCCTTCGTTTTTATTTTACCCTATTCTGTAGTTGGTATTGCTTGGAGATTCAGGTGTTGGGAAAAGTTGCATTGTTCTTCGCTTTGTCCGTGGTCAGTTTGACCCCACTTCAAAGGTGAAACAGACACTTGATTATTTTTTACAGGTTTCCTGTACAGAGGACACACCATTTGATTCTCCCTATAATATGGCTTATTCTATTCTGTTTGTTTTATTAAATGAATTTAGGTGACTGTTGGTGCATCATTTTTGTCACAAACATTGGCGTTGGAGGATTCCACAACAGTAAAGTTTGAAATATGGGATACTGCTGGTCAGGAGAGGTGCATAAATATTAGAAGCTTTGATTAACTATTTTCCCAAGTGCATCCTTGCATTAACTCTGTACTATGGAATTTCTGTACCATCTTTTGCTTCACATATGTCTTCTTCACCCTTGATTTACATTGTTTGCAAGCATATGTGTTGCTATTCGTTACCAAAGAAGTCACGAGAACTGGTTAATTTTCAGGTATGCTGCATTGGCACCTCTTTACTACCGGGGAGCTGGTGCCGCAATTGTTGTGTATGACATAACAAGTTCAGAATCATTTAACAAGGCACAATACTGGGTGAAGGTATAACATTTTTTATAACATTTTTTCCTATCTGCTCTGTTGTACTTATCGATTGTGTCTGCGTGATCTGTTCTAAATGCATGAATGAACAAGTTGAATGAATTTGCTCAAAGCTTTTGTAATCTACATTTATACAATTTGTGGTTCGATTTGTATCGCTGCTTCTAACTCTGTATTTTACCATGGGAAAATTGAGAGTATTTTGGAACACTCTATTAGATTTTAATCCTGGTATAATTGGAGAACTCATTTTAGTGTCCATTATTATATTTGTGTGCCCTTCTATAACCCTTCTCTCTAGGGTTGTGTTTAGTATGTGTGCACTTTGTAAACAAATAGATGTATGTTGACCATGGTCTACATTTGACTTCGATAAATCATGTAAGTTCTGCAAGCAGCATCATGGCAAATGCAAAGGCTAACTGTTGCTACTTTAATCATGCATTCAAGAGCATTTTTTATAGATAATGGATATCAATCCAACCTCTACATCCCTCATACTACATAGCCAAAGAGCTTTTATCTTTTTAGATAATGGAAATGGTTTACATTCCCATTCTACAGCTTTTATTATTCAGTATCAACTGTGGGTTTTTTTCCTATGAACAAAAGTCTATGATGATTCCCACCCCTTTTTTTTGTATGTGGAAAATGCAACTTCTTCACAATTTGCCTTTTACATTTTCAGGAACTTCAGAAACACGGTAGTCCAGATATGATCATGGCTTTGGTTGGAAATAAGGCTGATCTACATGACAATCGTAGTGTATCCTCTCAGGTGTGCATATATATATTTCTGAAAGAATATGTTGCACTTTTAATGGAGATATTAGATGCCGAAGCTACTATAAAGAGATTTTTAACTGTATCCTTTGGTTCTTATCTCTGAAGGATGCACAAGAGTATGCAGAGAGGAACACTATGTTTTTCATCGAGACATCAGCGAAAACGGCTGATAACATAAACCAACTATTCGAGGTATGCATCAGGAGTATCTCCGAGTCAGTTGGCTTGAACAGAAACTGGAGCATGACAGTAGAAACCATGATTAACTTTTCTTGCGTTCAATTCTTGAGCTGTTCTCTAAGGTAAATTTAGGAATCATCTTAACAGATTGTACTATCATGGCAGGAAATTGCGAAGAGGTTGCCCAGGCCAACACCATCCTGAATTCCTGATTGGTAACTGACCCAGGAAACAGGCTGGCAACTGTGTATTGTACAACAGCAGTAAAAGCTCTGTATGCACATTGTTTGGAAATGCAACAACTGTCATGTAAAGCAACTACTTTGCTCCTTGCTGCTTCTGTTTCCAGCTTGGTCAAGTGAGCTCAGTGTTTTGCTCAGCACAAGCTGATAGGCTATACGCATGGCCACATGGTCATTAGCAGTTGCATTATGCTGCAGGAATTTAACCGTTTCCTGTGAAAATCTTGTGAAATTCCTGCGTTCAAAACAGAGCCTTTATTTCCAGTGCCAAATTGGTTCTTTTACATCTGAAAAATTCTGAAACCTACGGTGTGTTTAACAGTGAGGAGGATGCTCAATTAGCAGCTGATCATGGCCTTTCCATCTGATCAATGCACTTGTAGCATCATTTCCTGATTCAGCCTTGACTTGACTCAGCCTGGACTATACTAGTACACAGGTTCCCGAATTCCGACGCTGCCCATGTGCAATTAAACTCCATTCTGCAGAACGAATCGTATGGACTAGGACATCTGATGGCCAGCCTAATAATCAAACCGGGAATTTTCGCTTGTCCTTCCTGGCTTTGGATTTTTCTCTCTGCCAATTAGTGGTGACTCAGTTGACCTGTTGCCTAGCTCCAGCAGTATTATTCTAGAAACAAAGATTTGGGAGTTCAGACATGTAACATGTTTTGTTAAAATAAATAAATAAATAAATAAAAGAGGTGGGTTAGACGTCACACACACATCTAACATTTGACTTGCTATTGAAAAATGAGAAGAGAAACAGAGAAAATGTTTCTCTTTTATGTGATGATAAGATAGAGAAACAGAGAAAATGTTTCTCTTTGTATGTGATGATAAGATAGGAAGACATCAAGAGATGGCCAGGTGTTAGATCTTAGATGCATTTCTACCTAAAAGATCAAGAAATGGCCTAAGTGTTAGAATATTGCTTGCTTAACCAAACGCCTATTAGAATATTGCTTGCTTAACCCAACACCTAATAATCAGAAACTATAGCTGACAATCCCCTCTACCTACCTAGTAGAATTCAGCTTTCCTCTGCATTTTCTGCAGGTTTGCCATTGATGATTGATGATCCATCCATGCATCTCAAGCCTCACTCCATCGTCTCCTTCCTTGTGCTGTTGCTACTCTTCCACGCGGCGGCGGCCGGTGGTGATGGCGATCAGTTCAGGTACGACGGCTTCGCCGGCGCGGCGCTCGACCTCGACGGCATGGCCGTGGTGGAGCCGGACGGCAAGCTCATGCTGACGAACGTCACGTCCCAGATGAAGGGCCACGCGTTCCACCCGGCGCCGCTCCGGTTCCACCACCCGCCGCCGGCGAACGGCACCGCCGCCGCGGCGAGGTCGTTCTCGACCGCCTTCGTGTTCGCCATCGCCGCCGACTACGTCACGGTGAGCGGCAACGGTCTCGCCTTCTTCGTCGCGCCGAGCAAGAACATGTCCACGGCGTCGCCGAGCCAGTTCTTGGGCCTCTTCAACAGCGAGAACAACGGCAACGCCAGCAACCGCGTCTTCGCCGTCGAGCTCGACACCATCCTCAACCCGGAGTTCCGGGACATCAACAGCAACCACGTCGGCGTCGACGTGAACGGCCTGGTGTCCGTCGCCGCCGAGCCCGCCGGCTACTACGACGACGCCACCGGCGGCGCGTTCAAGAACCTGACGCTCTTCAGCGGCGCCGCCATGCAGGTCTGGGTGGACTACGACGGCCGCGCCGCGGTGGTGAACGTGACGCTGGCGCCCGTCGAGGTGGCCAAGCCGAGGAGGCCCCTCATCTCCGTCGCCGTCGACCTCTCGCCGGTGGTGAACGGCACGGCGTACGTCGGGCTCTCGTCGTCGACGGGGCCGTTCCACACGCGCCATTACGTGCTCGGCTGGAGCTTCGCCATGGACGGGCCCGCGCCGCCGCTCGACTACGCGAAGCTTCCCAAGATGCCGGTCGTGAGCGCCAAGCGGCGGTCCAAGGCGCTCGACGTCGTCATTCCGGTGGCCGCGCCGCTCCTCGCGCTCGCCGTGGTCGCCGGCGTCTCCTTCCTCGTGTGGCGGCGGCTCCGGTACGCCGAGCTCCGGGAGGACTGGGAGGTGGAGTTCGGCCCGCACCGGTTCGCGTACAAGGACCTGTTCGTCGCCACCGCCGGCTTCGACGGCAAGCGGCTGCTCGGCGTCGGCGGGTTCGGCCGCGTGTACCGGGGCGTGCTCCCGGCGTCCGGGACGGAGGTCGCCGTGAAGATCGTGTCGCACGACGCGAAGCAAGGGATGAGGCAGTTCGTCGCCGAGGTCGTCAGCATCGGCCGGCTCCGCCACCGCAACGTCGTGCCGCTGCTCGGCTACTGCCGCCGGCGAGGCGAGCTCCTGCTGGTGTACGACTACATGCCCAACGGCAGCCTGGACCGGTGGCTGCACGACCACGGCGCGCCGCCGCTCGGCTGGGCGCAGCGGCTGCACGCCGTCCGCGGCGTCGCCGCCGGCTTGCTCTACCTCCACGAGGACTGGGAGCAGGTGGTCGTCCACCGCGACGTCAAGGCGAGCAACGTGCTCCTCGACGGCGAGATGAACGCGCGGCTCGGCGACTTCGGGCTGGCGAGGCTGTACGACCGCGGCGCCGACCCACAGACGACGCGGGTGGTGGGCACCATGGGCTACCTCGCGCCGGAGCTCGCGCACACGCGGCGGGTCACGCCGGCGACCGACGTGTTCGCGTTCGGGTCGTTCGTCCTGGAGGTGGCGTGCGGGCGGCGGCCGATCGAGCGCGGCGGCGCCATGACCGCCGCCGCCGACGAGGACGGCCAGCTCGTGCTCGCCGACTGGGTGCTCGACCGGTGGCACAAGGGCGACATCGCCGCCGCGGCGGACGCGCGGCTGTGCGGCGACTACGACGCCAAGGAGGCGGCGCTGGTGCTCAAGCTGGGACTCCTCTGCTCCCACCCGGTGGCCGCCGCGAGGCCGACGATGCGGCAGGTGGTGCACTTCCTCGACGGCGACGCGCCGCTGCCGGAGCCGGAGCCCACGTACCGGAGCTTCACCACGCTGGCCATGATGCAGAACGCCGACGGCTTCGACTCATGCGCCGTGTCGTACCCGTCGACGGCGACGAGCATCGACGGCGCGTCCTCCGTCCTCTCCGGCGGACGGTGATGGATCGAACACCAATACTAACTGACCCTCCTTAGAAACAGTCAAGTTACAAACATTTTGGAACCTAGAAATTTCATTTCATCATTTGTAAACTTTCAAAACATGTACATTCAAACACATTCTAATCAGTATGTTTCTGACGCAAAATTGTCTCTGAAAATCACATGAGGTTGTGAACAATTTTGCACGATTTTGTTTGAAATTCCGCGTATCAAGCGATCACTTAGAATTTTTCTCTAAAATCACATGAGACTGTAAACAATCTTGCATAATTTTGTTCGAAACTTCTCATAACGAACCATCACTTACAAAATTTCTCTGATACAACATGAGATTGTGAACAATTCCGCGCATTTTTTTGGTTCGAAATTCCTTTGCTAAGCAAATGTGGATTTTAGATCCAGTGCTACACACAGCAAGTGAAGTAAATGCACTCTCACATCTCAAATTCAGTGGCATGGGTAGTCTCTGGATCTCAGTAATGGTTGCGGAGAACTGTTTAATCATTAATAAGGCATTTGGGTCAACAATGCTGGTCATGGTCCAATCAATCCACCACTCCATTATTTTGCGTAATTTTTTCCCCTGTCCCAACATTGCAATGCTGCCAATGCAATTTGCAGCTATACCATGTCCTATTGTTGTATGTTTTGCCCTAAAAAGAAGGCAAAAAATACAGTTGTTTCTCCCGTTCTTGTTCACGGTCAACTCATCGTGGCCCACAATCGCGCTGTTTTTATTGACCATTTTTTGTGGGTTTTAGCGAGTACAACATCACATCAAGCGTCTTAGATTAGTGGTTAGTCCGTTCAGAAATCAGACTTGAGAATAAAAAAACGTCACATCATTTAATCGTCTTAAGATTAGTGGCCAGCCATCCCATCCGGATTTCGAATTTACTCCCTTCGTCCCAAAATAAGTGCAGTTTTGCACTATTCACGTTCAACGTTTGATCGTTCGTTTTATTTGAAAATTTTTTATGATTAATATTTTTATTGCTATTAGATGATAAAACATGAACAGTACTTTATGTGTGACTAAATATTTTCAAATTTTTCACAAATTTTTCAAATAAGACGGACGGTCAAACGTTGGGCACGGATATCTACGGCTGCACTTATTTTGGGACGGAGGTAGTAAAATTTAACGAAATTTGGTGGAGACAGAGCTGGTGAAATACTACAAACTTTTCCAGCTGCAAACCGGACGCGTCTCTGGGTGACACAAATCACAGCAGGTCGCGGTCATGGCGGCCTCTCCTTTTCTTCCTCCTTTTTCTTGTACTCGCAACCTCTCTCACGTTGCGTGTTGGTTGATGTCTTGATGACTCCGCCGCGGGACAAATGGCGAGGGGAAAGTGAGCGCGCGTTCTTCGCCATGGTTTCTTTGCCGTGTCTGGTGGTGCTGCTTCTTGCCGCGGCCGTCGGCGTCGAGGCCGCCGGCGGCGGCGGTGGTGGTGGAGTGGAGTTCGTGTATGATGGGTTCGGTGGCGCGGCGCTGGCGCTCGACGGCATGGCCACCGTGACGCCGGGCGGGCTGCTGCTGCTCACCAACGACACGGACATGAACAAGGGGCACGCGTTCCACCCGGATCCGGTGAGGTTCGTCGGCGGCGGCGGCGGCGGGGGCGGCGGCGTGGTGGCGTCGTTCTCGACCACTTTCGTGTTCGCCATCGTGTCGGAGTTCCTGGACCTGAGCACGAGCGGGTTCGCGTTCCTGGTGGCGCCGAGCAGGGACCTGTCGGCGGCGATGCCGCAGCAGTATCTCGGGATGTTCAACGCCAGCGGCAACGGCGACGCGCGGAACCGGATCTTCGCCGTGGAGTTCGACACGGTGCGCAACCCGGAGTTCGCGGACATCAACAACAACCACGTCGGCGTCGACGTCAACAGCCTCAACTCCTCGGCGGCCGCCACGGCGGGCTACTACGACGACGCCACGGCGGCGTTCCAGAACCTGAGCCTGATAAGCCGGCAGCCGATGCAGGTGTGGGTGGACTACGACGCCGCCGCGGCGGAGGTCACCGTGGCCATGGCCCCGGCGCGGCGGCCGCGGCCCAAGAAGCCGCTCCTCTCCACGGCCGTCAACCTCTCCACCGTCGTCGCCGACGCGGCGTACGTCGGCTTTTCGTCGGCGTCCAGCATCGTGCTGTGCAAGCATTACGTCCTCAGCTGGAGCTTCCGCCTCGGCGGCGGCGGCGCCGCCCCGGCGCTCGACTACGCCAAGCTGCCCAAGCTACCCCGCATTGGGCCCAAGCCTCGGTCCAAGGCGCTCACCGTCGCGCTGCCCATAGTCACCACGGCGATCGTGCTCACCGCCGTCGCCGTCGGCTTCCTCCTCCTCCGCCAGCGGCTCAGGTACGCCGAGCTGCGCGAAGATTGGGAGGTTGAATTTGGGCCGCATCGGTTCTCATTCAAAGATCTTTACGACGCCACCGGCGGGTTCAAGGACAAGCGGCTGCTCGGCGCCGGAGGATTCGGGAGAGTGTACAAGGGCGTGCTACCTCGGTCCCGGACCGAGGTCGCCGTGAAGAGGGTGTCACATGAGTCGAGACAAGGGATGAGGGAGTTCATCGCTGAGGTTGTCAGCATCGGCCGCATTCGACACCGCAACCTCGTGCAATTGCTCGGGTATTGCAGGCGCAAAGGGGAGCTCTTGCTGGTCTACGATTATATGCCAAATGGTAGCCTTGACAAGTACCTGCACGGGTGCGACGAGAAGCCGATCCTCGATTGGGCTCAGAGGATCTACATCATCAAAGGTGTCGCGTCTGGCCTATTGTATATGCACGAGGATTGGGAGCAAGTTGTCATCCATAGAGATATCAAGGCGAGCAATGTGCTTCTTGATAGCGAGATGAATGGACGACTAGGTGACTTTGGACTTGCAAGGTTGTATGACCATGGAGCTGACCCGCAGACCACGCATGTGGTTGGCACCATGGGATACCTGGCGCCGGAGATGGTTCGCTCCGGCAAGGCGACCACTCGCTCCGACGTGTTCGCCTTCGGCGCGTTTCTCCTTGAGGTCACCTGCGGCAGGAGGCCAATAGAGGAGGAGGAGGAGGTCGCCGGCGCCGGCGCTGACGACGACGACCGCTTCGTGCTCGTGGACTGGGTGCTCGGGCACTGGCGCGAGGGCGCCATCACCGACGCGGTGGACGCCAAGCTCCGCGGCGAGTACGACGCCGCGGAGGCGGAGCTGGTGCTGCGGCTGGGGCTGACGTGCCTGCACCCGTCGCCGGCGGCGAGGCCGAGCATGCGGCAGGTGATGCAGTACCTCGACGGCAGCGCGCCGCTGCCGGAGCTGCCGCCGACGTACGTGACGTTCAACATGCTCGCCACCATGGACACGCACCAGAACGTCTACGGGGCGTGGTCGGTCCGGCGGTCGTCGGCGATGAGCGTCGCCACCGTGTCTGACATTGGACTCTCCGGCGGCAGATGACGTAGGCCAGGTGTTCGACATTAGGACTCCAGTTGATTAGGATCAACTTCACGTTGGTAGCACTAATTGTAGACTGTGATTTGACTTTTTAGCTTGCAATTAGCAATTAGCAACAGATGTTATTTGGGGGAGATGGCGTTTGTTTGTTAGATAGTATGAAATTTTGATCTGAACAGTTTCAGGATTCCTTCTGCTTTGATCTGAACAATAATACTAGTACTACACGTTCGACATAATACTAGCTGAATGGAGAAAATTGCTTGGTCCGAATGGACAAAAAAAAAAAAAACGTGGACGAGTCTCGAACGGTCGAAATAAGGCCTGGTTTAGTTTCCAAAACAAATTTTTTTTCACCAATCACATCAAATGTTTGGACACATATATAGAGTATTAAATATGGAAAAAAATAAAGCCAATTACACAGTTTGCGTGTAAATTGCGAAACGAATCTTTTAATCATAATTACGCCATGATTTGATAATATTGTGCTACAGTAAACATTTGTTAATAATGAATTGATTAGGCTTATTAAATTCATCTCGTAGTTTCCTGGCGGAATCTATAATTTGTTTTGTTATTAGACTACGTTTAATACTTCAAATGTGTGTTCGAATATCTGATATGGCAACCAAACCTAAAAATTTTCCCCAACTAAACAAGGCCATAGCTGAACAATACCAATTGTACAGAATTGGAACTACTCTATGCATGTAATTGGTTTTTTTTTCACATTTAATACTCCATGTATGTGTCCAAACAGAATTGGATGTGATGGATGAAAAGTTTTTGTTTTAGGAACTAAACAAGACCTATGGGTGTGTTTAGATTCCCTGGCAAAATTTTTCACCCTGTCACATCGAATGTTTAGATACATACATAGAGTATAAAATATAAATGAAAAAATAATCAATTACACAGATTGTGTGTAAATTGCTAGACGAATCTCTTAAGTCTAATTGCGACATGATTTGACAATGTGGTGCTACAATAAACATTTGTTAATGACAGATTAATTAGGCTTAATAAATTTGTCTCGCAATTTACAGGCGGAATCTGTAATTTGTTTTGTTATTAGTCTACGTTTAATACTTCAAATGTATGTTCGTATATCAGATGTGACACGCCAAAACTTTACACCCATAGATCTAAACACCCCCTATGTCTTCGGTTCAAAAAAAAAATTCATCTCAGCACTGTCGTGTCTGTTGCATTTCTGTCGACACACATGTTAAACCTTCTTGTCTGTCTTCTGTTTGCAGATTCGGAAAGGTACAAAGAAATACAAGAATGTCAAGTTCTTTGAAAGCCACCGAGTGTTTGCAGCGAGAAATGTTGGTGGTAACTACGGACATGCAGCCGGAGGTGGTGACGATGCGGTAGACGTCACAGGAGTAGGCGCAGACGGATGGACACAGGGAGGAGGAGGAGGAGGAGGTGCTGCGGCCCGGCCGGAGGAACCGGCATGGTCGCCTACACCGAGCAGCAGCCCTTCGTCGTCTGCCTCATCGGAGGATTCATCTATCGCACCGGATTCATCCAGGAGAAGGCAGAGAGAGGGCGAGAAGATTGAGGAGGCAGAGAGAAGATTGATGTACCACCAGTCTGCTCCTCCTCCACACATAGGTGTTCCACCTCCGCAGGGTGGATTCCTTCCTAGACAGATTGGTGGTGGTTCAGGCCGGCCAGGATTTGGAGCTCATGGAGGTGGTTTAGGCTGGCCAGGATCTGGAGTGCAAACGCCAGTATTTGGAGCACAAGGAGGTGGTTCAGGCTGGTCAGGATCTGGAGTGCAAGGAGGTTATTCAGGCTGGTCAGGATCTAGAGTGCAAGGAGGTTATTCAAGCTGGTCAGGATCTAGAGTGCATTAGGCTGGTCAGGATTTGGAGTGCGAAGACCGGGATTTGGCGCCCAAGGAGGTGGTTCAAGCTGGCCAGGATTTGGAGTGCAAGGAAGTGGTTTAGGCTGGCCAAGATCTGGAGGACTGGGAGGTCGTTCAGGCTTACCAGGATTTGAAGTGCAGAGGCTAGCATTTGGAGCACAGGGAGGTGGTTCAGGCTGGCCAGGATATGGAGTGCAGAGGCCAGGATTTAGAACGCAGGGAGGTGGTTCAGGCTTGTCAGGATCTGGAGCGCAGGGAGGTCCGTCTATGGGTGGTCCAGGCCAGGGTAACCTGGAATGATCTCTTGGAATCCAAGCCCACTTTGTGGACGTCAAATTATCAAATCACTCCTTATATTCTCTAGTCTACCAAGATTGGGTTTCGTCTTTATGTTATTTTGCACGAAACCTGTGAAACAATGTACTCCCTCCGTCCCAAAAAAAAAAAGACAAACCCTGGGTTTGCGTGTTCAATTTTGAATGCCCGTCTTATATGAAATTTTTTTATAATTCGTATTTTTATTGTTGTTAGATGATAAAACATGATCAATACTTTATGCGTGACTTGTCTTTTTAATTTTTTTCATATATATCTATTATATTATTAAAACAGCCTTAAAAGAAGGCACCACGTTCACTGTGGAGGCTAGAAATTCCCACATTAATCGGAGAAAAAGAAAAATATCTTAACCATTGGATCATAATAGATCTAGATTTTAACGGTAAGATTTAATCGTAGTGTTTCAGTATATACACAGCAATAGAATCGGACAAACCGGACAAAAAGTCAGAAACACTGTAGTACATGGATTCACATGCAATAGCTTTTCTAGAGTTTCCTATAGCCAAAACTTTGTGCTGATCGGACACATGTGCAATAGTAATAGGACACCAATTAATATATGACAATAATAGGTATATGGCTGTGTTTAGTTCAGCGCGAAGTTTGGATTTTGGTTGAAATTAAAGATGATGTGACTTTGATTGAAATTAAAGATGATGTGACTGAAAAGTTGTGTATATATGACAGGTTGATGTGATGAAAAAGGACTGAAGTTTGGATCCAAACTTTGGATCTAAACACGGCCTAAGACAGTAGATTCCAAAATAAAAACACCCTAAACAATCCGACTCTGACAATCTTGATTGTCACCGATTCCTAAACTAATCTTGATTGACTCTCCAATAAATACCAAACACCAGAAGGGAGCCACCACCAACCAGTTCAACAAGAGAAGAGGTAAATAGCAATCAACGCAACCAGACGGGAGCCACCCACCAGATCAACAAGAGAAGAGGTCAATAGCAAGCAATGCAACCGAACTATCGGCAAACACAGCAGCAAAATATAAGTCCAAGACGCCATTGTCGCCGGATCATTACACGCCATTGTCGCCGGATCATTATCATCAGATTTTGCCGCTGTGCCGCCAAGGGCCGCACCGCCCTGTGCTCCTCAATTAACCGGAGATCGTGCACGTGCTTCCCGGCCCGGCTTCGGCAGCCCCCGACGACGTGAGAGCCACCACGGCGCTCGGGACGGCGATGGACGACCCTAGATCCGCCGGATCTGGCGGCAGCCGCGGCGGCACCTCACCAACAAGCGACCGGACTCGATCGGGATAGCCGGATCCGGCACGACATCACCGACCATGCAGAAGAAAGGTGCAGCGATGGGGAGGGGAATATGGACCCACGTTGAGAGAGAGGAGAAGTTTTCCGCAGGTTCCACCTCTCCCTTTCCGTTACTCCTCATCAGATTTGGCAGTGGAGGAGATGAGAAGGGTGAGAGAGGAATGACAGGAAGAAACGAGAGAAGATGAGAGGCGAAGAAACTGAGACTTGGCTGTGAGGTTTGGGACGGGCGGAAACTAAAAAAGTCAACATATGTAACTACTGTCCCCACCACTTCCTCTGTCCTTTTCTTTTCTATTTGTTGAGATAAAATTTCTGAGTTGCAGCACAAAATTTAAATTAGTACCTTCAAATTATACATACAATTTAAAATCTTTGCACACTATTAAGGCTGTGTTCGGGAACCCTCACTCACTAGCACGTAAAACGAAACATTATTTAGTGTGTGATTAATTTAAGTATTAGATAATATTTTCAAAAATAGATCAATATGATTTTTTAAGCAACTTTCGTATATAAACTTTTTTTAAAAAAAAGCACCATTTAGCAGTTTGAAAAGCGTGCGCGCCGAAAAACAGGAGGGGGGAGTTAGGAACGGCTGGGAACGAACGCAGCCTAAAACCAATACTATCAAATCATAATTTCGAGATCACATTAATTATATTTCCGAATGTAAGAATACTTTATTTTATATCGTCTTCTCTTAGCATGTCATCCACATAAACATTATATATATATATATATATATATATATATATATATATATATATATATATATTATAATTAAAAACATAGTCAAATATATATTTTGGAGACCGTGTCATTATTCAAAGCGTAGCAGAGGAATTGTACTGCATCCAGCATACTTTTTCCTCACACGTGCAAAACGGAGCAATTCATTAGCATATAATTAATTAAATATTACTTAGAAAAACTTAAAAAATGATTAATATAATTTTTAAAAACTTATTTTTTTCAGAAAAACACATAATTTAATAATTGAGAAAACGTGCGCGCGATAAATTATTGAGAGGTATTTCGAATTGTTTGTTGACACGGACAAAGTAAGGGAAAACCCCTGAAAGAATTTCCATATTAACCTGAAAGAACATTTTTACTGATGCAATATTAGGAAAAGACAATAAAGAGAATAGGCAGTGGACGGGCCATAGAGGAGTATAATTGATGGGACGTCTAGAAATTGTAAAAACAAAACCCAACGTGATAATAAACTCTAAAAACTATAAGATCCATTTTTTGAAAGTTCCAAGGAGAATGAATAGAAATAGTGGTAGATCGAGCAAACAAATAAAGATGGAGATGACATAAGGTGTAGCAACTGGTGTGACTTTTAAAGAACTGCATAATTAGAAACATGAGGATGATAAGGTTTGGTCTTACAAACTCTTAAGATAATGACATAGCTATTTAATAAATTTTAAGTAAAATCATAATAAAAAATATATAATTTTGTTTGGGTGCTAGCCGCGCAATTGCGCGGGCCACCCAACTAGTTTTTTTTAAATAAGACGGATGGTCAAACATTGGGCACGGAAATCAGGGTTGGTCTTTTTTTTTAGGACGAAGGGAGTAACGATGAAGTAATAGTACTAGTAAGGAGGCGAACAATGGAACCTGAAAACCCAAAATGTCAAGAGGCGCAGTGCTCCCGTCCCGTCACACTTTGCGTAGCATCGTTCTGTACATGGGAGCTCCACGAGCCAGCACATGGCGCTCCCAGTCAGACGCAGCGCCGAACGGGTTGTCCATCTGGTGGTCGCCGCCGCCATCGTCGTCCACCACCAGCTGGCCCTTGCCGTGCGTCATGAACTGCTCTTTCATTCTGAGCAGGACGGACTCCACGTCAGACTGCAGATAAACCTGGAGAGGCAAAAGTTTATTAGAGGACGGCTGGTTCGTCCTCTTTCCCCTCAGACCAGACACCCACTCCCTCGCTTTGCTTTGTAAATTGCTGATTAAGCAATGGGTGAGACTAGTTGTTTTCTAATTAGACATTAAAACTTCCCCATATTAAAACTTCCCCATCTTCTTGAGTGGTATGATGGTATCAGCATTTTCTATTAGATTGGTCCCCTACAAGCTCCGTCGCCCCCAGTGCCACACTCACCAAGCAAGGATATGATATATTACAGCTGACCTTAGATTACATCGAAATTAGTGCCGTGATAACAAAAACACTAGTGCTCATATGCGTAAAGCGCGTCTAAGGTCAACCTATATTTTTCTATAACAACAAACAGCTGTGCTGCTGTTACTGAAGTCGGACTAGATTTTGTTACTATTTCTGTACTGTTACGCAAGGATATATAACCTTGGTCAACATCTGAAATGGGAAGGTGGGGAGTACACTATACCTTTCCATTGGGCTGAAGAAGATCAGCAATAGCTTCAACAAGCATTCTTCGTACCATTCTCCACCTGTTCTGCTCTCTGTTGAAATCAGGATTTGGGCACTGCAAAGAGGAGAGGATAACAATAAATGTACGCAATACAACAGTACTGCTATATTCTAAGCTTGCATACAACAAATACAACTAAGAGCAGTCCCAAATTAAAACTAACATAAAGTGCAAATCTTGTTACTGTTCTATATAAGATTTTCCAGCAGGTAGCTGTGTAGTTTAAGTGTAAGTAGACGAAGACAAAACTGTATCAGAAATACTAAGAGTTAAGAGTACCTGTATAGTGACAAGAGCCAACTGTCCAGGGTAACTTGAAACAATTGATCGAAATGTGGATGTTGCATTTGTTGAAACAAAATATCTGACAGAAAGAAACACCTGCGTCATTAATGCTAATTGCCAAAATATAGAAGCCAAAAAGTCCAAAACAAAATTACAAGAGTACCAGATTAATTCATATAGTGGTTAGAAATAAATAAAAAGATTTCTCAGAAGAACCTTATATTTAAGGATTACGAACTGCAAGCAAGAACATACCCTTGTTATTTAGACAGTATGGTGTTTGAACTTGATAGCATAGCGACATCTGTATAAAGTGTCACTACATGAGATCATCACAAAAAAAATATATCTTAGATTTTATAAACCATCATCTGTAAAGTCAACTCTAGGATCCCTTCGCAAATAGTCAATCTAGTTCCAGAATAGCCACATAGGAGAAGGGGTACTTCCAGTCAAGGTGGGCAGGTGGGCAGAGAGCCAGAGACAAGATAGTTCGTTACTTTGTTTCAGTCGTTTTATGAGCACACTAGTTGCTGGAAATGAGAGTCTGGGACCACTCGCGTGAACAAAAAAAAAGGGCGAGGAGAGAACAAGCAACATGTCTACACTTCTACCAACTAAAAACAGATCTGTAGTTTGTAGAGATGCTTACAGATTCCTTTTGTCAACTGAAGCAACATCCCGAAGGCACCTTACAACAAGCTACATGAAAAGCAAGTCAAAAGGAGCTTGATCACTTATGTTAATAGAAACTACAGGGCAGTTATTACCTTTTTATTCATCTCAAGCCCAAGAAAATTGGAGCCTTCCCAGTCTCTAGCCATTTGAAAAAGAAATAAACCATTTCCTGCACAAATAGAAAAGAACTCAAAAGGGTGAGAGAATGAGAAATGTGATCCCACAAAATTCAACTAATATTCTCTATAGTAAGACGGATGTTATACATGTATTCATTCACTCTGGCAAAACAGCAAGCCAATCAGGCAGTCGCACTAAGGAATGAATTATACTTTGTGCTTACTAGTCACTACAGAAGAGAAACTGAGATTTAAGATCTTCTAAAAATGGGAAACTTGTACTGGAAGAGGAATATTGATATGCGATGTGAAAAGTTTTGAGTATTTCAATGCTATATGAGTTCACAGAAAATGAATGGAACCGTTAACAGACAATGCAGCTTAAAGAGGTTCTGCCGAACCAAAAATCATTACATTGGTGTAAATCAGCTAAAACCTATAATAACTGGAATTAGTACAAAGACACCACAAATAATTAAAAGGGAAGGTTCCTCCCAGTTTGTATTCATTGGATAGCACATACTGATCACTTTATCAGAGATTGAACATTGTAGTAGGGAGACCTACCACTTCCAATATCAACCACTAACGGTTGTGAAGAATCAGAAAAGATAGCATTCCATGGTATCTGATAGGGATAACTCTGAAAAAATATGAGGGTATTTTATTTTAATGACCAGCAATAAGGATCAGTACAACAAATAAGGCACTTTGTAATATTCCACTTCAGAAAACTAATGCAGTGTTAGTTGGTAAAAATATGGACCTGCTGGCAGAAATTATTCAGTAGAAGACATGACAATAGGTCCATCACTGTTCAGATTATATGCAAATCATTACCCATTTAGAAGACCATGAACAGTCACTAGAAATCCCTGAGCGGAGTACTCCTGACTAAGTGGATATTTGTCATTCACTACACAAACACACATTGTTAAAGGGTTATTTTACAGGCATTATTAAAAAGAATTTCAATGCTTGATTCCCTGTATTTAGTGTAATTTGTGAGTTCTGAAGCTGCACATTCTAGACTTGAAATATAAATGGTGTGTAAAGTACTGTAAAAAGGACAATGCCGTAGCATTAGTTCATATAGAGGAGAAAAATGCCATGTTAGATGTTTGAATATGCTTTCATTAACTCAGATATTAACCTGGCAGATTGTTGAAGCTTTTATACATGCCATTTGAAGATATCGTGCTCTCATCACAAGGTCCAAAGTAGGATCACTTGGATATTAGACGTTTAATAGTATAGGAATGCAAATTTGTTCTGGAATGCTGGGAACATTAGGGCCTCGGACTAAATTTTTGTCCACATATGTTTTACAGTAGAATTTGTTGTCATGCATTGCCGAAAGGGAATAAGCATTCTAGACAATGACTTACTTTATCCAATGCTGCAACACCAGGCAATATTTTTCCTTTCAGGAATTCCAAAACAACAGATGCATTTTTAAATGTTGTATATTTTGATGATGATCCTGATATTCCTTTTACTGCCTTGCATGCTGCACTCCCCACTAAAATAACATCGCAGCTATCATGGCTTGCCTTGTCCAGTATCCTGCCCAACTGTGCTGCCCCACCAGAAAACTCTTCTGTTAAATCAAAACATGTTGGCCCAATCCATAGGACCTTCTGAGACATAGAAAACAAATGAATGTGATAAGTTTTCTAGGAATAAAAAAAGATTATCCTGAGAATTAAGATATATAAGATGATAACAACAAAAGAAACCTCAATGACGCATGAATCATGATGTCATAGAAAAGTCAACTTGAGCACTTCACATAAATTATCACTTATCAATTATAATGCTGCTCTCAAGTTGCCTGAAGTGTATTATTATGTCTAGTACTTCAATGTGTTGACTTCTTTCTCATTTGTAAACTGAGTCTAAGACTGAGAACTTATGGGACGTGTCGATGCCACAAAACAAGGTGTGGTGTGTACACCATGTAGTTTTTGGTATTTCCAAGCTAAAATAATGTAGAATCAACTACAGAAACATGAAGGTTTGTGAAATACTTTAGAGCATAAATTATTTTGATGTATTGTTTCTATGTGTTACACAGAGTAGCACAAATACTTTTTATTGCTCAGTTACACTAACTGAAGGGAAATATTCATCAATACTCTTTTCTTACCTTGTATAATGGCATTAACGAGGAAATTTTCTCCAATGTTGATGGCCCTATATCAGCTGGTGTCCAGCCTAAAGAAATTAATCATAGAAGGAAAAACAGGTATCAGAAAGCTTCACTATTATTGTATGATTTATGTAAACAACTAATACTTTGAAATATAAGTTGTTCAAAAGGATGAAAATGATGTATTACAAACAGGATGTTAACACTAATTAAGGAAATTGTTGCAGTGTATGAGTTGTCAAGAAATAGGGCATTCCTATTGAAAACATGTGAACGAAAATCAGAGAAATGACTAGTATATTCACCAGGCAATAGTTCAGCAGAGTCGAGAATTTCCAACTTTTCATGATTGTTGTTCTTGTTGTTCAAACACCAGGTGTCAGTTGGATAATAAATAGGAATATTCCTGTTATGAGCTGTTTGTATAAGTTGTAGCACTTCCTTAGTTGAATTCTTTTCTACAAAACAAGAGGGCACTGGTATTCCAAAGCCATTCATTATTTGCAATGACAATTTGCCAACAAAGAATAATCCATCACATAGAGAGGCTAACAGATTCAGAGCAGGTGCCTTTCCCAAGAAGTTACTGCCTCCAATCTGCAATAACCAGAACAGTGTCAGAGTGAGATCAATATCGTTGTTGAAGAAATACTACTAAGACTTTAAAAAAAAAAAACACTCCCAGTGCAAAGCATGAATCTTGCTTTCATATAGTATACCAAAAGAGGTTCTTTCCGGTCCCTGAGGAGGACCATGATACACCACACTTTCTAGTATTAAGTTGTAGTGCATCCTGATTCATTCCTCTAACGTACCAAGAGATACTACAAATTGACACTAGATGGTGTGGTACCTCGTGCTTCCCCCTCAACGACTGTAAAAGAAGTCTCTTATAGAAAACATTTTCTAGGATAAAGGTTCTGGCCTTTGCTATTCAGCTGTCATTTGTGAACTGTTATGATCACTAGCCATCAAGCATTTACAAATTCTTGACCAGTCCCCTAAAAAGATGACACTAACAAAACCACTGAGCATTTATCTGTTATCTATAATGAACATAACATGACAATCAATTGAACATGCATTATGATATCTCCTAGCATCCCTTTTTTTTCTAATAAAATATCAGAAATAAACAGCTTTCAATAATTAGCATGTCGGCTTTTCTGTAGTACCTATTCTTGCTTTGACCCCTAGTGTACAGAGTACAGACCAGGGTCAGAGTGTAAAGTAATAAGATTATGTTTGTACAGCTTTAAAGAGAAATGCAACTATAATAATCTGCTATCGTGCAAAAAAGCTAAAGCATATACTTACACATAAGGATTGGTTGTCAATTGCGTCTAACTACGCAGGCTTACTGTTGTGAAGAATAGAAAAAAGAATACTTGGTTATCATGTATGTACTTAACAAAACACACCGTCAACACAGAAATTAACTTAGCTTTTCAACAAGGAGGAACAGAAGTACAAAGCAGGTTGGAACAACGTATTCTGTAACTCTCTCCCTTAATCAGTTTATTTTACAACAGAAAAGTGGACAGATTCAAAATAAGCATGTCAAACTATAAGAGCTGAATATTGTAAAATAGAAACTAAAAATAAAAAACTTTTAGGGCTAAAACTTGTAGTTAGTTCCTTTACTATGTAGTATGTACTGTAAAGAAAACAAAGACTAATTATTACTATTGCAATGAATGGGCGCCTTGTGGTGTCCGTGATCTTTCTCAATTGCATAAGCTCCTCCTCAAAATGGAAACCAGCAAGGGATGCATGGCAGAAGCGAGTGATGCCAACAGTAGATGCTAGCATCTTATGAGACAGTGAGAAAGAATCATTGACAAAGATTGCAGCACCTGAAGCGAGCTTCTGAGAAAAATCATTGCAGTTTGCATTTTCTCCTTTGAAGTTCAAAAGATTTTCAAACAAAATAATGTCATTCTGCATCCACCCTTCTGGCTTAAATGATGTTAAACCAGGCACACCATTTACTGGGACCACTTTTACTTGAAGAAGCGATGACATATAGTCTGACAATCAACATTTATGACAGATTATTTTAAATAATCGATATGAAAGAAACAAGCTATTCTGATTTGCAATTCTAGCTAAAAAAAAATTGTATATAACACTATTTTTCGATAATGGTATATAACACTATAGTTGATTAAAACAAAAAACATATTACAATGAGTCAGAAGTCATAAAAAATCAAACCAATTTATAATCATTGACATGGAAAATATAACAAGTGAGAAATACAGTGTCCACGGTATGCATCAGAGATATCTACTGCATAAGAATTCAATAGCAATGCTTCTCAGTTTCCCAAGATGAAGATATTTTCAGGTGTATGAATAAAATCTAAAATATTTGCATTGGTTTCAAAAACATGTCATGTGTGTCCTGAAATGATGCATAATTAAATGTCCTGGCATATTAGCATCAAAACTGAAAATATGTTTTTATCCTGGCCTGAAAAAACTTATGTCTGTATCTTTTTTTTGAACGAGTCGGCACTTAGAGTGCGCCAATTTCATTGAATATAGCAGGAGAAAAACTGCACATTGAATATATACAAAAAGAAAAGGAGAGCTATAGTATTATGAGTATCATTTAAAATTAGCATGCGAATCATGAATCAACTGACCAGCAAAAGTTTCAGTTGACTTGAGTACTGGGTAAACAGATTGAAGAACAGGAGTCCAACTGGTGACCAGAAGCACTTTTGCTCCAGCTTTTTGCAAGTATTTGATAGTTGACACAGTCCTTTCCAGCGACAAACTACATGATCCTAGAGGATTACAGATCAGTTCGGAATCAAGTCGCACCAGAACCACCTCTGCATTGAGTTTTTCAATGGGGAAATCCCTAACAGATTGCACGTGCAGATATGATGTTGAATGATCAATACAAGAATATTTGTCCTGAAACAGTGATGGAAAAACAAGAAGTTAACAGTCCATGTCAGGAATGAGTTTTCTTTTTCCTTTTCTTTTGAAAATCGAGAAGGGCTGTTTCGAAAGAGATGTGCACCCAAGTCAAGCCTAGCATTTGAACCTGGGTGGGTACTGAGGTTAAACAGCCTCATCACCACCAGGCCATCAGCCTGTTCACAAGAACTGGATTTACATGTTAAGTTGCTAAAATTTATCAAAGGAATCAGGAAACAACAGGAAAAGGATTTGTTACTTGAGAAGGTAAAAAAAAGGATGTCAAGCATTTAATCATGTCCAACAGGCTAGAAACAAGTTATCTAACTTCCGTATCAAACTAGGAGGTAGGCAAATGATCATGGCTACAACAACAATGCGCAGACCAAAAGAACAATTGTAATAAGGTATTAAGGTGACAAACACTAGTCTAAAGAGAAAAAGTTTTGGCTTTGTATATTTTATTCTTAAAAACAAAAAGGTGAAGAAATTAAGAATACCTCGCTAAATAATGTTAAACACCTGCCTTAAAGATCAAATACTATTGACTTCCATTCTCACCATCTCATTAACATGGAAGCATTTAGTCTCTTAATCTCTTTTGACTTTTGAGTACATCTGACAGTATATTCATTATTACCTCTTGGTACATTTTCAAGTGCCATAAAAGACCTCTTCCATCAAAGGGGTCGGGTTTATCCCATTTTCTAAAAATCAAAGGGGTGCAGTTTTTTTTTCTCCATCAATTATAAACAGTTCACTCATCCTTAGCATTCAGTGTTCCACAAAACAAAGGACATGTAATGCCACCTCTATAAGCAAAAATTGATTGTCATTGGGGATTACATGCCACATTATGTAGAACCCAGAGAATTCTAGCATACCTCTCCCTCAAGATGAACCACACTAGCAGATTGCGGTGGCTGAAAGCACAGTACCATACCATTAAGCCTGGATAGTCCGCGACTTCCTACCGTAGGATGGAACTAAGAGTCAACACAATTGGAATGAAAATCAGAACAGAGTTAGTCATGTTACTCCAGCTCACCCCGTAAGTAACAAGGACGTCCTGTAACCACGGATCCACCCGATTGTGGCCATGATTCTCGCCGACGAGACCTCGATGGCCTCAACAACTGGACGCTGCAAGCCTTCTGCATCAAGCCGTCCTTCCTAGCGCCTCGCACGCTGGCACTAGCATCCGAAAACCTAAATCAGCAGAAGAGAAGATAAAAAACCGAGCACAATCAGTCACCAAATTACAGCAGAAAAGTGCGGGCAATCGGGGCCGGCTGACGCGGCCATCGTTCCCTTGGGAAATTGGCGAAGCTGCAAGCACAGCGCACAATCGGCACCGCAGCATCGCCGAATGCCCCGAATCCCCTGCCTTCCTTCTCAGCTTCGCTGCCGCCGCGTCGACGCGGCGGGTCGGGCCATCAGCGAGCTAGCGAGAGAGAGGGGGAAATGGGACTTACCCGCTCTTTCGTTGCCGCGGCGCCGCTCCCGTCGGCGCGTACGCTCCCCGGCGGCCACCCGCCGCCGTATCTCCCCGTCGAGGAGGAGGAGGAGGACGCCGAGCCGCTCGCTCGCTTCTCGCCGTGGAGGTGGAGGAGTTCGCGAGCGCGAGGCGCGGCGAGGTGGGTTGCCTCTGCCTCCGTGCCGTTGGGGAGCGGAAGCCAACGGGGATAAGGCGTCGCGGACTTGGGCCGGGCCGAATTATATGATGGGCTTAGATAGAAGTACAAAAGGAGCCCAAAAATGCTTAAACACCTTTCTAAGTTCTAACCAAACAAAATTCAAATGTGTTTTTATTTGAACACACAAACACATCGCTTCAAACAAACTTAGTTTGAACGGAAACACAATCCGTTCTCGCAAACATTTGGGTGGTTCTGCCCAGCAAATCCCCAAATTACAGTAGCTTCTACATAGACACATCTGCTGCACGTCACTGGCACAGTGGCTACAATCTAGGACTTGTACGTGTGTGCACGTACGAGAACGATGATACTACTAGTTCATACGAGCCCGACACGTTACGAGACGCGTGGCATGGCGGTGTATCGATGACGTGTACATGTGCTTTGACCCGCCGGGTCAATGGCGGCCGCCGCCGCCGCCGCAGCGGCGCTTCAGCTCGTCGACGAGCTCGTCGAAGCCGCGGCGCGACGAGCCGCCGGGCGCGACGGCGGCGTGCAGCGTGGCCCGCATCTTGCCCACCTGCTCCCGGAGCACCTCCCCTTCCTCCCCGCGCATCACCCCCTCGATCCTCGCCCTCACCTCGCCGGCGTCCACGGCGCCGCGGTCGCCGACGGCCACGCCGGCGCGCCACTCCCGCACGACGAGGCGGCGGTTGGTGAACTGGTCGGTGAGCAGCGGGAAGCACAGCATCGGCACCCCGGCCCACGCGCTCTCCAGGATGGAGTTCCAGCCGCAGTGCGTGAGGAAGGCGGCGACGGCGGGGTGGGCGAGCACCTCCACCTGGCAGCACCACGGCACCACCACGCCGCGGCCGTCGGCGGCGGCGGCGGCGGCGAAGCCGTCGGGGAGCGGGTCGGGGTCGTCGGAGCTGACGATGTCCGGCCGCATCACCCACAGGAACCGGGCGCCGCTGGCGAGCACGCCGCGGGCGATCTCGTGGAGCTCGCGGCGCGTGACGTGGGCGTAGCTGCCGAAGGAGACGTAGAGCACGGAGCGCGGCGGCTGCGCGGCGAGCCACCGGGAGCAGTCGGACTCGGCCCACATGGAGGTGGCGACGGCGCTGCGGGCGAAGCCGGCGGGGAGGATGGGGCCGACGGCGTAGAACGGCCGCTCGCGGCGGAGCGCGGCGATGGTGGACGGCTCCAGCTCCTCCACCGTGTTGCACACCACGTAGTCGGCGCCGCGGGCCTCCTCGAACGCCCTGAAGATGATGCGGTGCACCACCGTGGTCGTGTCCGTGTCCTGCAGGTACGACATCAGCTCCCCCGGCTCGATCGCCTCCACCCCCGGCACGTACGTGATCGTGTCCTTCCTCGGCTCTGCATGCACCCACCACCACACATTCCCCCCAACAAATTAAAACAACTCGTAAAATAAAATTACTTGCTACCTCCGTTTCAAGTCATAAGAAAGTCTTATAACCTAAAACGAAGGAAGTACTTGCAAGGATCTTCGTTTCGCATCACGAAAAATGTGAAACAGTTGAATTACATGCACCGACCAATTCACGAAAATGAGAAATGTGACTGAGAAGATTAAAATGATGAGAATCACAACTGTTTGGTAGTCAGACTCTGAGAATTAATATTTTTTGAACTTTCAAGAATTAATAATATTGAATTTTTTTACTTCTGATTTATAGTTTAATTTTAAGATTTTAAAATTATGAATTCTGAGAATTTGAATTAAAATCTAAACTATTTGAGAAAGCTAGAGATTCTGCACGAAACTGCAACTATATCGTAAGCTCTTTTGGCAAGACCTAAGATGGCTTGTGTAAGTGCCAAGTGCTCGTGTTCGTGTACCGTTGCAACGGAAGTGACCGTGCTCGGTGAGGAGGTTGATGTGGTAGTAGAGGTTGAAGATGAGCGCCGGCTCGGTCCAGAAGGAGACGTAGGGGATCCCGAGCTTCTTGGAGAGCGTCGCCGGCCAGACGAAGAAGGTGTCAGCGACGAGGAACGTCGCCGCCGCGTCGACGACGACGCGGCGGAGCAGCGCCTCGACGTGCGCGCCGAACGCGTGGAGCAGCGACCCCATGAAGTCGTCGTGGTTCAGCGACCGGTCGAACCCCACGGGGAGGCCGTCGCTCACCACCTCGTACCGCACGTCCATGGCGGCCGCCACCGTCTCGCCGCCGCCGCCCCCTTTCGCGGCGGCGGCGCGCGCCGCGGCGAAGACGTCGTAGCCGGACGGATCGGCGACGCCGAGCGCGCGCGCCGTCTGCTCGTGGACGGACTCCGTGCTGACGAACGTGACGGCGAACCCCCGCGCCGCCAGCTGCAGCGCCAGGTGCACCGCCGGGTTCACGTGGCCCTGCAGCGGGTACGTCACCACCACCGCGTGCGGCTTGCCGCCGGCGGCGGCGGCGGCGGTGGCAGCAACCTCTTCCCCCATTGCCGATCGCCAAGCTAGTAGCGCTAGCAGCTAATCAACCAACCAATCCTATGATTCTTTCGTCTGCTCTATCACTGGTTCACTCCGCTACCAAGCTAGTGGAATTTATAGGGAACTATTCGTTAAAAAAGAATTTATACAGAACTATTCTAAACATACGAGGAGACATCTCCTATATCATCTAAATGGTTATGAAAAAACTAAAAAAAAATAAATAAGATATATTAATATGTGATAAATCACTACACATGTAAGATCAAATTTAACTTCTATAAGTTACAATGAAAAATAAATCTGCTTGTGAATATATGTTAATTTGTTTTTTTATTGAAACATGTAGAAGTTGAATTTTAACCTGTATGTTTATGATCTATCACATATTAATCTATGTATTTATTTTTTAAATTTTCTATAACTCATTTAAATGATATGTAAATAACAAGGAGATATCCCCTCGAGAATTTAATCCACTCTCGGAATTTATATGATCCAGCGAGTGACATCTGACATCACTATATGTGGACACACCAACTGATGACCTCGTGATCGTGTCAAAGGCGGCGATTGAGAACCTTAATTTACCCTAATAGGTTTTGTTATATATTTTCGCTTTAGCCGCCGGCCGGCAGCTAATCTGTTTGTTAATTAGGTTGTTCTTGCCATTGACAGTGATGGATATTGGATAATCTTGGTGAATATGAGAGAAAGAGAGTTTGGTTTTCACAGAACTATAAATTATACCTCTATCCCATAATAATTGTATTTTTAGGATTTAAATTTATCCCAAAATAGTTGCCACGATAAAGTACTAATGATCTCATTAATCACTTCTCATTCAAAATTCTCCTTATTTTACCCTCAACTACCCTCACACTTTTACCTATACATCATTTCATAAAGGGTATTATAGTTTTTTTTCTCAAACTTTAATATATGCTAAACAATCTAGAATTACAATTATTTCGAGACGGATTGAGTAAGTAGTTTTGGCTAGGAGCTTAATTAAGCCCACTATCATGGGAATTTTACCGGATTTTTGCAATTTTCTAATGCATCGAGTAATTAAAAACATCTAAGAAACACATAATAACATACACGTGTGGAGTAGTAAACTATTAAGGGCACCTCCGCACCTCCAGCGTTGGTTCGACCAGTGCAATAGGCAGAAGTCAATCAAGTCATACAAAATTCGGTTCGATCGCTCCAACGTGAAAAACAATTTATGGATTCCACGTAAAAAGAATCCGCTAATCGTGTCCGTCCTAGCTTCATGCATATGCCAATTATGTACAATGCAACAAACCATTTTTTTTACTTCTTTACTCGCCTAAGTTAGATTTCACTTTGAAGTTCCTTTTTTTTCCTATCTAACAATCACGCATCAACTACCGCAAAATGCATCATTTGGTTTCTCCGCTTTAAAATTGGTTTTATCTTCACATTGGAGATGCATGCTCTAAGGTTGTCTTCTTCCCCTTCTTTCTCAACTCGTCTCCCTGTTTTTCCGTGCTCACGCTTTTTAAACTGCTAAACGATATATTTTTACAAAAGTTTTCTATACGAAAGTTTCTTTAAAAATCATTTTAATCCATTTAAAAATAACTGATACTTAATTAATTATGTGCTAATGAGTTGCTCTATTTTACGTGCGGGTGGGATTAGTTCCCAATACCACATACCGAATACAGACTAAGTGAGGGTTTTAATGGTGCAATCGTGGGACAGTATAGTAGCTAGTCCTGTGTGGGCATGCATCTCTCGTATAAGCGGAAAAATAAAAAGGAACTTTCCATGTTCCACACAAAGCCTAAAGGATAAACATGTACATATATACATACATACTCCATCCGTTTAATATTATAAGACATTTGATTTTTTTCTAGTAAAACTTCTTTAGGTTTGACCAATAAAAATATACTATCATTTTCAATATAATACAAACATATTATTAAAATATATTCAATATTAAATTTAATGAAACTAATTTGGTTTGGTAGATGTTGTTATTCTTTTATAAACTTGATTAAATCTAAATAATTTCGATTGAAAATATTCAAACGACTTATTATAATATAAAATGGAAGTGTAAGCTACGACTTCTCGTGACAACTCTAAAGACCTGAGAGGCTAAACAGTTATTCGGTATGTTCTGGAGCAGTCTAGCCCAAGCGGCAGCTACTGCCAACGCTAGTCACCATTCTTTTTCGTTTCTCCGTTGATTAATCAGCCTCTCGCTCGTCAGGCACTGAAGTCTTTCGGTATGATCGGTTGCTCACATCACATTTTCTAATAAGTCATTTTAGTTTATTAAAAAATAAAAACTAATTTATATGTAAAAATTTTATATATATGTATATATATGTGTTCTTAACGATTAAAAAGCCAATACTTAAAAGAAACTATGCTAAAATTATTTGAAAATTTAATTTTTGACTTTTACTTTGGCTTATTATAGGGCAATCCATGGAACTCTCTTTAAACGAGAAGAGGAGAGAAGAGTACTATTATTTTTTCTGCGGCAGCCTACAGACGTTTGTTTATATTCATGCAGAAGAAAAGTCCAGCGGAGTGAGGCAACGTGACAATGATTTGAACGACCGGTAGGTCACTTCTTGACGTTATTATGTGCTCGGTAAAATAAAATGATTCTAGTTTGGGCCCTCGGTCCATGTCTGCCACCCCATGGAAAATAGAATGATTTGAACGTGACAATGATTCTACTTTTGTTTTTGCATGTACAGTGAATCATTTCGGCTTTTCTTTTTCCAATGTTATGTTTTGCAAAGTTTCTACGGAGAGTGGTTTTATGTGGCTTGTGATTTGGTTCCACCTACTTCTAGTTGTATCCCACTTGTTTCGATACTGGCTCGTACGAGTGAACGCTAACACAAAAAGACAAATTTTTAACATGAGCATCTGCGCTGTATTGGTTTTTACCGCTTTGTAGAAATTAAAATTATGTTGTTTTTTTTTATAAAACTCTAATTATATCTTATATGCAAGTACTTTATAGGGTAATATTGTATTTAACAACCTAATTAAAATGAGGATGACTAGGGGACCGAATACTTTAGTGACCCCCTTTCTTTTCTTACCTATCCGACCGAGCTTCCACGCATGAGTGAACTTTTGTACTCCCTAGCTCCTTGCCTCGCCAGCCACATCAACAGTAGGGAAGGAGGGAGCACATAGAGGAGAGCAGGAGCCAACGGTAGGTGGCTCACAGCCTAGGCGACGACGACGTGCATTCCTTCCTCAAGTCGTGATACTTGGCATATACATGGTACCTACGGTATCAGCCGAGGATGGCGTACATACACACAGTGCAAATGAGCAACGTGATGAGCCGGCAAGGAGCACGATGCGATAATAACCTCAAGCCCGCATGAATCACTTTGTGAGCACCCCTCATGCTGAGAACAACAACCTGTGCCTTATCGCCGATGCACGGCCCAGACCTCATCTCAGCCCCGCATCCTCCCTCTTCTTCCTTCTCAACTACGATAACATCAACCTTGCCACTGTAACCGCATCCCTTCTTGCTGACTTTTCGGACTCCGATGACCCCATGACCTCATCAACTTCCATACTATCGCCGGTGAGGGAAAGAATACGGGGGATACTATCAGCATCGAGGATTGATGCGTGTGGAAGAATCGGGGAAGGGAGGGAGGAGGAGGACGGAGCGGCTAAGAGAGAAAGACACGAAGAAATAGATCTATGAAAATGGGAAAAACAGTTATATGGAAATATGGTTTCGATACAAAGGCATCTCTCATCCTTGGTTATGATTACGTGCTATAATATTTATGAATTAAACATGGTAGGCCGGGATGTTTTCACTTCATTATTTATAAAATAACCCCATATTATTTGTTTTTCCACCGGTCCCAATCATCGACATGTAATTTTATAACCAGACTCTCGAAAGACAAATAATTACCAGTACCTCCTGGCTCGTCGTGTTCCTCCCTTGGCCGCCTCGTTCGCCGCCCCAGCTCACCCTGCAGCCACCATGCCTTGCCGGTGAACCCATCCCCGACCGGGTGATCACCCCGGTGACCCGTACGTCTAATCAAAGCTTGTTGACGAGTGTGTGGGTTCGATTGAACTTCTCTGTTTTAGTAGGGACTGAAAATTAAACAGCGTTTTACAGTAACCACCCACCGTGTATACCACTTCTGCCCTTGGCTCTACCACACCACTGACGACGTCGTCTCCTGCGTGGCCGCATCTCTCCGCGATAGATTCCGTTCAGAGATACAGTACAAGGAAGTACACACGAGCCGACATGGCTGTTTGCTACCCCTCTCCCTCGTTTTTCGTGCGCACGTTTTTTAAACTATTAAACGGTGTGTTTTTTAAAAAAATTTCTATACAAAAGTTGCTTAAAAAATTAAACTAATCAATTTTTTTTAAAAAAATAGCTAATACTTAATTAATCATGTGTTAAAAGATCGCTCTATTTTAAGTGCAAGAGGGATGGGTTCCTATCCTGCACTTTGCCAACACACAATATGCTTCTCCATCGCCGCCTGCCGCGAGCCCTCCATTGGCTCGTTCCGAATTTCTGGTGGAGCGTGCCCCTCGTGGCCGTGTGTCCAACGGACGCGAGAGCGCGGCGAGAGCTGGAGCTGTGCGCACGCACCGATCCTGCAGGGCTGGGCGGGTGGGCGATCGAGAGCGATATGGACGACGACTAGCTACAGTGAGTCAGTGATGGCAAATGGCATTGGCTTGGCATGGCGTGACATGGGCCTGTCTCCGCCTGATTGGGGTGACGCTTTCGTCAGGCTTTGATTTATCTTCTCTGCTTCGAGACTTCCCGTTCTAGATCGAGCCTCGAAAACCAAGTGACTTTTGTGGTTCTACACAGTTTCTGTCTAGCTTCTGCCTTCAGTTTGAGTTAAACGTTCGGAACGTTGTATTTTGAAAAAAAAAATCTATTTTTTAAGTTAGACCTCATCTTTTCACTTATGCTTATATTTATGAAACAAAATTTGAATTTTTAACCTTAAATTTAGAGCTGATTTTCGGGTTTTTTATTAAAGTTTATTTTTCAGCCTTTACGTTTAGATCGCAAAGAACACTTATACAAAAGTTTTATTTATAAATTATTTTTCGTTTGCAAATATGATGTTTGGCTTATTCCACAAATAAGCGAAACAATTAGGCTAATACAAACTAATCATGAGCTAATTAGCTAGTACCTTATTTTTCAT